CGGGAGCGGCCACTGCACTCCAGTCTGGGCGACAGAGTAAGACTCCAACTCAAAAAAAAAAAAAAGGAAAGGACTATCTAAATATGACACTAAGCTAGAAACCATTAGAAAGATTTTTAAAAATACTACTATATTGACAAAAATAATCACTCAAGTAAAAGAAAATGACAAACTGAAAAAATGCATCATGTATGATAGAAGACTAACAGCATTATTATGTTAAGAACTCAGTAGTTCAAAACATATCAACAGGTAAAATATTATCACCACAATAGGAAACTTGGGCAAAGGAACAGAAAAACTTATCAAAGAAATCCAAAAAACATATGCTACAACTAAATAAAAACCATATAAACATAAGAAACCTAGCCAATCAACTAATAAGGCTAGCTTTTTACTCAATAAGTATTCCTGGAAAGTTCAACATCAATAAGATTTAAGAAAATGCATGTTAGAAAAAGGGGATATCAGTGTTTACCTATCAGAGGGTCAAGGATACAGACACACACACACTCACCAATGTTGGGGATAGTGTAAAAATGCAATTTCAGATCTAAGATCTATCCTAAGGAAATCATATTATAAACTTACCTTTGTGAATCTGTTTATTTTTTTGTTTGTTTTGAGTTGGAGTCTCACTCCGTCGCCCAGGCTGAGGTGCAGTGGCACGCTCATGGCCACCCCAGTATCAACCAGCTGGGCTCCGGCGATCCTTCTCCCTCAGAGCCTTCCAAGTAGCCGGAACTACAGGTGTGCGCTACCATGCCTGGCTAATTTTTGATTTATTGTAGAGACGAGGTCTCACCAAGTTGCCCAGGCTAGTCTCGAACCTGGAGGCTCAGGCAACCCACTCACCTCGGCCTCCCAAAATGCTGGGATTATAGGCTGAGCCACCGAGCCTGGCCTGTTTATATTTAATAACAGCACTATATTTATAGTATTTAAAAAAATTAGATCCAACCAACTATTCATCAATAGAAATAAATTATGATATACTAACACAAGATGATAATATATAACATTAATGATAATGAAAAGGTATCCAAGATACCCTGTCAAGTGAAAACAAAAACAAAAAAATAGACATATTGGAGAACCTTCTATAAAGCATGATGCTGGTTTGTTAACCACTAAAATTCTGGCAGTGGTTATCACTGTTGGTGGGAATATGAATGGTCTTCACTTTATGGATTACTTTGATAATCAGAAAAAGGAAAACCAATCTCAGTTTTAAGAAACCAGGAAAACAACAAAACACACCACAAAATCTCAAATTCCAAAAAGCCACTCGACAACTTCTGGGATTATAGAAATTCATTATAAGTGAGGGCAACCATGCAACACTGATGTACACTTTCCAACTTTGCATCCATCCATGATCCGTTGAATAATTTTCCTAGTGAAACGGATTAAAAATTATGTTAATGAGCCAGGCTCGGTGGCTCAGCCTGTAATCCCGTGCTTTGGGAGGCCGAGGTGAGTGCACTGCCTAAGCCCGCGGGTTCAAGAGCCACCTGGACAACTTGGCAAGACCTCATCTCTACAATAAATCAAAAAATTAGCCAGGCATGGTAGCAAGTGCCTATAGTTCCAGCTACTCGGAAGGCTGAGGCAGAAGGATTGCTGGAGCCCAGCAGGTTGAGGCTCCGGTGGCCGGGAGCAGCCACTGCACTCCGGTCTGGGCGACAGAGTGAGACTCCAACTCAAAAAAAAAAAAATTATGTTAATGTTTATACATGAAAAACTTAAGTTCATTCAATAAACATGAGGAGAATACTAAAACTGAATACAGACAGAAATAAATAAGCTTTATCTTTATCATATTAGTAATATCTCAGTATTTAATTCCAGTGCTTTTATCGAATATCTCAACTATGTACAATCACTGAAACATATTCTACGGACAAAAAAACTGCAAAAAATTTGAACTTTATTAAGTTTGTTATTAGAACTAGTAATGGAGCTGATGTACTAGTATTTAGTATTTGTTGTGAAACAGTAAATGAATAAATATGTGTGATGGTATTGGGAACCAGCGTTCTCACTCAGAAAAGAAAGCTACAAACAGGGAATGAGGTTAAGAAAGGAAAGAACAACACCGATGCTAGATTAAAACTGGAGGTACCAGTTAAGACTTCATTACTTAAAATTGTGTGGGGACCACTGTTTTTTTTAAGCACTGGCCTCCATGATGTTTTCCTAAGCTTTTTTTTTTTTTGAGTTGGAGTCTCACTCTGTCACCCAGACTGGAGTGCAGTGGCCACTCCCAGCCACTGCAGCCTCGACCTGCTGGGCTCTGGCGATCCTTCCGCCTCAGCCAAATAGCTGGAACTACAGGCACACACCACCATGCCCAGCTAATTTTTTTTTTCTTTATTGTAGAGATGAGGTCTCGCCAAGTTGCCCAGATGGGTCTCGAACCCGCAGGCTCAGGCAATCCACTCACCTCAGCCTCCCAAGGAGTGGGATTACAGGCTTAGTCACCGAGCCCAGCTTGTTTTTCTAAACTTTGACTCCTTCCTCTCCCTTGGGGAGGTGAATCTCCTCTCTCTCTCTTACTTACTTTCTAAATAAACTGCATTTTCCAATCTAAAAACAAAACAAAAAATGTGTGTGTGTGTGTAAATACACTGCCTAGGTCTTTCCACTGAAATAAACTAGAAATAAAGAAATCCCATTAACAATGAGCACACCAACATCTAGATCTTAGTTTCTAAACATCACTCCCTGTATAGATACCAGGGCTCTTGAAAAAAATGTCTGATTTCAGAGATATTGAGAAAATAGACACAGAGAAATAAGGGCTCAAAAACTGATGAGGACATCTTAAAAGAAAGAAACCAGCTTAAAGGGGCCAAATTTGGGACAAACTGAGCACAAACAAAAATGATAAAGAATTACAGTAAAGGGAACTTGAAAAAAAAGAGTTCATGGTGATACTGAAATACATAACGGTATTTTAAATATATAAATATATATTTTGCAGAAGAATATATTAAGTCCAGGCAAAGTGGCTCTGTAATCTCAGCACTTTGGGAGACCAAGGCGGGAGGATTGCTGAGGCTCAGAAGGTTGAGGCTGTGGTGAGCCGTGATCATGCCACTGCACTCGAGCCTGGGAAACAGAGTAAGACTCTGAGTAAAAAATAAATAAATAAATAACCCCCCCCCCAAAAAAAAACCAAAGAAAAATATTAAAAATATATGGGGGGAACCCAGAAAATGTAATTAATTTACAAAAAATTGTGTATTTATTCTTACATGGTTAAGCGTCAGTCACCTTCAACGTACTCTCCATTTGCTGCAATACATCTATTAAGATGTTTTTTCTAGCAGGGCTCGGTGGCTCAGCCTGTAATTCCGCGCCTTTGGGAGGCTGAGGTGAGTGGATTGCCTGAGCCCGCGGGTTCGAGACCCACCTGGGCAGCAAGACCTCATCTCTACAATAAATCAAAAAAATCAGCCGGACGTGGTAGCGCATGCCTGTAATTCCGGCTACTCGGAAGACTGAGGTGGAAGGATCGCCGGAGCCCAGCAGGTTGAGGCTGCGGTGGCCGGGAGCGGCCACTGCACTCCAGTCTGGGCTAGAGTGAGACTCCAACTCAAAAAAAAAAAGATGTTTTTTCTGCTCAAAACAGTTTTTTTAACTCATCAGTTCTGATGCCTTTTACTACTTCTACAGTTTTTTGTTTCACCTCTTCCACATTGGCAAACCGTTTCCCTTTGAGGACTTTTTTCATCAGGGGAAACAAAGAAAAGTCTCTTGGACAAGATCAATAAGGAAGGTGGGAGGCTGTTGTGGCTGAGAGTTTGTCACACACTCCAGCTTAGGTGACAGAATGAGACTCTGACTCAAAAAAAAAATAGTGTAATTAAAATTAATTTCATTGGGGCATGGTGGCTCACGCCTATAATCCCAGCACTTTGGGAGGTCAAGGCGAGACAACTGCCTGAGCACTGGGGTTTAAGACCAGCCTGGGCAACTTGGCAAGACCTCGTCTCTGCAATAAATCAAAAAAATTAGCCAAGTGTGATGGTGCGCGCCTGTAGTTCCAGCTACTTGGAAGGCTGAGGCAGAAGGATTGCCTGAGTCCAGCAGGTTGAGGCTGTGGTGGTCTTGAGTATGACACTGCACTCTAGCCTAGGCAACAGAGTGAGACTCATACTCAAAATAAAAAATTCAGTGAGGCCAAATGCAGCCTCTCACACCATGCTAGCTGGTACACTGATGCCGATGGATTCCCAGAACACTTCCTTAGGAGGGGAAGCCTAAGCTCCCCCCAGAAATGTAATTCTGGTTTTTTTTGGTTCCCCCTTGTGTGTATGTGTAAATTTTTATATACACACATATATATTTACACATTCAAATATATATATAGCACATGCGTGTAGTCCCAGCCACTTGGGAGGTTGAGGTGGGAGGACTCCTTTAGCCCAAGAGTTGGAGGCTGCAGTAAGCTATGATTGTGGCACTGCACTTCAGCCTGGGCAACAAAGTGAGACCTTGTCTCAAAAAATAAATAAATGAATGAATAAATGATTCATACAAGTTCAACTAACAATGGATCCTAAAATCAATGGGTAAAAGGTTGCTGGGGAATAGGATATTCAGCTAAAGCATCATCCCATAGCTTGCTTATTAGTTTCAGAGAAAAAGACACCTTTATAATGAAGAAATCCAGTAGACATTTCCTTACTCGAATACTAAAATCCCCAATAATGAGTCATAAAACTTTAGTACCTCCTGATTTCATTTACTAAAAAGGAAACCATGTCTATACTTAACCTAAATATAAACAAGTAATTAGCCAAATTCAGATGGGGGACATTCTACCAAAAACCTAGCTAGACTCTTCAATGATAAAAAAACAAAAGATAAAGGAAGTATTCTAAATTAAAGAAGGAGGCGGGGCACGGTGGCTCATGCCTATAATCCCAGCACTTTGGGAGGCTGAGGCGGGAGGACTGCCTGAGGCCAGGAGTTTGAGACCAGCCTGGGCATCACAGACCCTGTCTCTTTAAAAAAAAAAAAATTAGCTGGGCATGATCTTAGTTACTCGAGGCTGAGGTAGGAAAATTGCTTGAGCCCAGGAGTTGGAAGCTGCAATGAGCTATAATCATGCCACTGCACTCTATCCTCGATGACAAAGCAAGACATTATAACAAATTTAAAAAAATAAAAAAGAATAAAGGACAAAGAGGCATGACAACTAAATGTCATGTTAGATCCTTGGCAGGATTCTAAAAGGCAATAAAAGACATACTGGGATAACTGGAAATGTGAATATAGACTTTATTAGACAATATTATTGTGTCAATACTAAATTTCTTGAGTGTGAACTTTTCTTCAGTATTGCAGTTTTTGCAGGAAGCTTGCTGTTGCTCTATCCTGTGTTAAGGTCAAAAGCCTATAATTTTCTTTCCAATGGTTCAACAAATGAGAGGGGGAGAGAGGAGGAGAAGGGGAGAAGAGAGGTGGGGGGGAGGAAGGAAGGGAGAGAGGGAGGGGGAGCGGGGAGACAGGGAGAGGGAGAGAGAGAGAGAGAGAGAAAGAGAGGAGGAGGAGAATGAAGTAGAGATAGAAAGCAAATGTGGAAAATTGTTAGCAAGTGGTAATCTAAGTAAAAATCTTTATGGGTGTCATTACACCAATCTTTCAACTTTTCTGGTGATAAGTAATTTATCAAACAATAAAAGAAGGTAGGGGGAGAAAAAGAATACATGTAGGACTCTAAGGATTCTTACAAGATGAAAGAAACAGTAGAAAGAAAAAATAGCATGTTGTCAAATTGTTACTTGTGTTTTTCTGTTATTACCATGATAATGCTGGTTTCTTTTTTCTTCTTTTTCTTTTTTTGTAAATTTAATTTGTATGGTCGCAGGACACTCTCACAGTAACTAGACACCCAAAGGATAATAGAAATAGTCTGCAAGGAAAAATTGGAAATTCATCAATAAGGATTACACTAAAGATATCTATCAGGAAGTTAAAGGCAATGGATTAAACAAATTTTAACCAGCAGATTTCTTCAATTTCTCAGCTGAATCTCCACTCTCTGTCTACCACACTGATCCAAGCCTTCAGTATCTGCTCAGAATGCTACAATGGCCTATCTCTTTATTCTTTCTTCTAGTCCTCCCAGCTCTAAATCCATCCATCACTCATCTCCAGTTATTTTTCACTTCCCTGTAGAAGTAGGTATTTAACAACATCCTTTTCACTAAGTGAAAAGTCCCAATTCCTAGGCATGGAATCCAAAGGTTCTCTACAATATGCATCTCCCCTCACACCTCTCCAGTCAGCTAAGATACCATCTTACCTGCAAACCTTAATTTACATATATATGGAGCTATCGCCCCAGTTGATCAGCACATATCCTGCATGTACTATATTAGCTATTTACACATCTTCTAAACTACAGTATGTGTATGTACATATACATCCAGTAATTCACTTTAGAATGTGCCAGTAACCAGAACAGTACACACTCCCCTACAGACTGGTAAGGGTTAAAAAGTAAACAAAAATGACAAAAATAAAAGGAAAGATAACAGATTACAAGTGTTTGCAAACTTCGTCTGTGGCAAAAAAAAAACCAAGAAGTTTTGCTATATTAGCTCCTGGATTCCTTTATAATGCATAATATCTTATTAATTAGCAAATGACAACAGCAAATAAAGAAGTTGGAGGCATTAACTTAAACTACATAATAAGAGTGAGTCGGGCCTGGCATGGTGGCTCATGCCTGTAATTCCTGCACTTTGGGAGGCCAAGGCAGGAAGATCACTTGAGGATGGTAGTTCAAGATTTGCTTGGGCAATATAGCAAGACCACATTTCTATTTTTAATTTGAAAAAAGAAAAGAGTGAGTTAGAAAGGAGAATGAAGAGAAAAACAGCTAGATTTGGAGTGAATCTGGGAAACCTCAAAGATACAGAAAGCAAAGTTCAAGAAGTTTTACCTCAGCATTATAAGTGAAATCTTCTTGAAAGAATTGGTTTAGAAAATGATTTAAATTGCTTTTCAATTAATAAAAGCAGGGATGGAGGTTAAACTGCAGGTATAACAGGTGCCTATTACATGTTCATTGTTGAAAAATGAATCCTGCATACTAATAGGAAAAGTAATGACTTTTAGGAAGGGAAAAAAAAACATACCTCAACAAAGAAGACTAGATTTTCTAAAAGAGTAGGATGTGTTTTCAAGTTACCATCTTTAACTTCTAAGAGATCACCTTTACACTTACTGAAGACATCTGAAAACAAAAAAAAACTTATGGATTTATTCAGCTTTGGTTTCAATGCTATTTTTATGAAAACAGTACACAATCTAATAAAGAATAAGCAAATATAAAAGCTTAATTCAGAAAGCTTTTTTTCTTCATTTTCCATAATAAGTCAAACTTCCAAGGATAGTATATCTATTTTAAGCTCTTTAAAAAGCCACGTTGAAGCTGGCTCGGGGGCTCAGCCTGTAATCCCACAACACCTTGGGAGGCTGAGGTGAGTGGATTGCCTGAGCCCGCGGATTCGAGACCCGGTTGGGCAACTTGGTGAGACTTCATCTCTACAATAAATCAAAAAAATTAGCCGGGTGTGGTAGCGCACGCCTGTAGTTCCAGCTATTCGGAAGGCTGAGG